TAAAAAAATATAATACATGGTGAGAAAGTAATGGAATCATGCTGAGAGAACATAAAAGGACAGAATGCTGTTACTTTGTGATTACTAATAAGTCTTTTTGGCTTTCATATGGTGGGAAAACTTTTCACTGCCACAGAGATGTTGGATCTTCTAAAGGAAAATTTAAGAATTATAGCATTGAGGTTCTGTTGGACAGGAAAAAACCCAGTACTTGTACTTAGGGGAAACTGAATCAGAATAGCAAATTCTAGTCTGTCACTGGCTGCCTTTGTGACTTTTCTCTAGCCATAGCTTCCTACTTTAAAATAAGCAAGATAAAGAAAAATGATTATAATTGATACCTCTTGAGATGGCTGCCTGGTTTTCTCCTTTCTCAGGAAATAGTCTCCGATACACAGGGATATGTAAGATCTGATTCAAGTGACCCAGCTTCCCATAAGCAAGAGAAGCCAGATTTTGCATACAGGGGTAGGTGGTCTACCCTGGCAACACTGAATACAGGCACCCAGAGGCTGAGCAGTGTTGGCATTATTACCAGTCACTGAGAGAACCTATGCTCACTTGTTGCTTATCTCAGAAATGCTCTGCTTGACTAGTTTTACATCCTTATATCTCTGGTAATCTGAACAACTACTTTGAAGACAACAATATACAATATAACAACCACTGTTGAAAAATAATCATGACAAATAATGTAAGGAACAGGAAAACGCACATGTATAATGTATTAGACACCCACACTGTCAGTCTCACTGGTGTGGCTTTGTAGGGCTGCCCTCTCTGATGCCAAGTAGCTCTGAGCAAGGGTATTGCCAGTCTCATTCTGCACACGATTAAACAAAAGCATAAAGTGCTTAATGAAATTTCTAAAATCACAAAGTCAAAAATTGCAAAGGCACTTCAACTGTAATTCATGTGTTTCTGACTCACTGCTTTTATTCTTTGCATAGCTTCTGACCAAAAAAAAAGTGTAAGAGAATAACAATGGGTAAGTCTAGGCAAAGGTATGTATGAGTTCATTACGCTATTATTAACAATCATTAAGCATGATTTTTTTCTTGTTTTTGAACTTGTTTTTTTTTTGAACTTGTTTTTTAAAATAATTTTATTGAGAAGCAAATAGCAATGAGACAGTTTTAAAACCAATTAGGACAGTTTTAATAATTAATATGTGGCATATTGTTATCCTAGTGGTTATTCATTGTATAAGAAGCATAATTTTTTTTCTGAAATAAAAAGAAAAAATAAAAATCATATAAAACCAAAATTTGGAAAAAAGAAGAAAAAAGAAATGGTCTGTCTTTTCATCTTTTGGGGGTTTAGCTGTTCATCTCTTCATTTTCGTAAGATTCTCTGATAGCCTTTCAGTAAACTTCTTACTTGCTTATGCTACTTATACTCCAAGGCACTTTTTGTTTTTAAAGCATCCACTCAACTTTAAAAATTCTAATATTCTGTGACTTTATGGTACCGATTACATTTCATAGGTTGTAACCACAAGTGTTAGCCATAGACAACTGGCATCTATGGCATGGGTGAGCGACTGTAGTTTTGGCAGTCTGTGCATTGATGAAAATTAGACATGTTCCGTTTGGCAACACAGGGTTTTAATTAGGTAAATTTGTATTTGTTGCATGTGGAGACTTTAGTTCAATAGTATAAAAAATAAACAATCAAAGTCATATTTTCCAAGACACAATGTCAATGGCACTATTGTTAGATACATGCTAAGTTTAAAAAATATAGTGTGTAACTGGATTAGTTTATCACTAAACCTCATGGGCCAAAACCTCACTGTACTGATTGGCTTGAATGCAATGGACATTTTGAGGGCATTTGGTGCTCTGCAACTAATTCTTCTTGATAATCCTGAAATAGTTGAATTCTAAGTATACGTATTTTGTCTTATGACTCATACATTATCATACTATAATCTGGTACAGTGCAGTTATCAAGTGCCTATGAAAATAACTTTACCAAAATGCCTCACCAGAATATTAAAATTTACGGGGCTGGGGAGATGGCTCAGTGGAATAAGCGCTTCCCTGGCAAGCACAAGGGTCTGGGTTCAATCCCTGGTTCGGCCAAAAAAAAAAAGAAAAATCTTTTAAGAACATTAAAATTTAGATGTGCAATTTAACTTTTATTATGAAACTTCCTCATTACAGATTCTCCATGGTTCTTTAAGTTATCCTTATGGATTTCCCAGAGTGAAACGTATGCCACTCAGTGGCCATAAAGCAGTACTGCAGGAACTAAGTGGCCAGGATTACATTTATGACTCCGAATGTTAGGGCATCCGCACTCGGGCTAGGGAAATGGACCAGCAAACTAAGACCAAAGAGGGTTATGAGAGTTATTTTAATCTGGTGAATAATATTAGTGGCAGAACTGTAATGTTTGTATTAATAGAGACACATAACACTGGAGAAAGCATTTGTTCACTTCTAGCCAGGGGTTATTTTACGGTCCTCACTCTATCCCGAGGACATTGGTCAGTGTCTACAGACAGTTTTGTTTGTCATAGCTGTGTGTGTGTGTGTGTGTGTGTGTGTGTGTGTGTGTGTTGTGTGGATGTGTTACTGGCATGTAGTGCCGGGGACGCTGATAAACACCCTGTAATTCATAGGACAGTCTCTGAGGAAGAACTGTTCAGCCTGGAAGGTCAGCGGGGCTGCTGCTGAGCAACCTAACTCATAAAAAATAATTTCACATGTTTTTTGAACTCACATTTGCTTTCAGCTGGTTTGGTCAAAATCTTTTCCTGATGTTCAGCTTTATTTCTTAATAAAAGAGGTACACTTTGTAATTTGGATTCATTTTCTGAGCAATAAGTATATATTTGTGTTAACCACTTTTAGAAGGCAGGAAAAGTTTAGATTTTCACATATAATTTTCTCAAATCTCGCCTTACCAATTCAAAGTTTTCCCTCCTTTCATTCCCCATTTTCTACTATTCCCGATTTTATGAAATTAAATAATCTGTTCACTGACCAGAGCAAATACAAGTCCATTTAAAACGAATAGAATTTAGCTTTTTGTGAGATTACTATTTAACTTCCTTTTGATTAAAAAAAAAAAAGTGCTGTTAGGCCAGGTCCAGGCGGATGTGACCAAGCTTATTTTTACAGTTTTAAAATGAAACTAATTACAGACTGCTTGTACACAAATTTGGCATTTTTCTTTTCTGTTGGAACTAGTCTCTTTAAGTAAAATGCTTGATGCACCTTCTTAAAAATATCTATTATTTTTCCCGTTGCCCTACCGGTGTTATTCAATTTAATTACGTGCCAATGACACTGTCATAGGCATAACCTTACAGACATGTTGTAAGGATTACTTTCCATTAAGTATTTTGTAAATCTAGGGATGAAACATGTATATAATGAAATTTAAGACTAATTTAACACTTTTTAGAAAGTGATAACCAAGTTCTGCTCCTAAATTCACAACCCTGTAATTGCAAGGATAAGGGAGCCTATAGGAAGAACTGACTTAAACCTCAAAGTATGAATAACTGCAGGTGTTTATCTCTTTAGTCATACTTATGAATATAACTTCCGAATATTCACTTATGAATATTCACGTATTCACTTCTCATATCTCTCTTAGCTTTTAAAATAGAGAGTGTGCTAGAGCTCTAAAAATATTTCTCTATAAGAAGTGCTTGCTTAGAAAACCACATATGCACATGTTTTAACAAGCCTATTGTTTCTTGGTAAGTATTGAAATGTAGAAATGTACTGTTTCCTATCTTTAAAGCACTTAGTTTTTAGGGGAGTGCTCTGACATCTAGCAAAAAATGCTTGATACAGAGCAAGCAAAACCAAATATAACAACTGATGAAACAGTCATACTGGCACACAGCTGCTAAATACCTGGCATCTCCTCCTGCACTTCCAATTTTCTTGGTATGGACAGATCTGTTGACATGTCAAATAAGCGTGCCAAACTCAACTTACTGCTTTCTCACTCAACTCTACTCCTTGTTTATAGTTTTCTTTGTAGTCTCAACCCTCGTATTCATTCCTCCTTTCCTTCTTTGACGAACACAGCTCTCTTTGTTGCCTTTCCAGGTGGAGCTGACGACCACCGCCTTCACTGCCCGCGTGGGGCTCTGCTCCGGCTGTCCCCCTCCGTCTGTACATTTTTTTGTGGACCACTGAATGCACTCCAGCTTCCCCGCTCTCGTCTCTTCTCACCACGCTCTTCTTAACTTTGCTGTTTGCACGTCCCTGCGCCCTTTCACTACCCTAAAAATCAACGCAGTTCAGCTCAGGGTTTGAGCGCGCATTTTAATCAGATGTCCCCGAACACGATGAAGTGACTGATGGAGAACTTAAGCCCAGAAGCCCGGTCACTTGGTTTTACTGCCACTGAAGGACGAAACTTGTGTGTAGTCCGGCAGAAACACTGTGCCTCCTTTCACTTGTCACTGAGCTTGCATATCTCATTTAGCTTTTAAAATGCAGCTTTTCGGGAACCTTACTTTCCCCCGGAACTACCTTCCTCTCTTGGGAACCGCCATCACATTCCTATTTCTTACGCTTTGTACAACTTTGTGCATTCTTAAGGAAAACAGAACAAAACAAAACAAAACAAAACAAAACAAAACAAAAACACCTCGGAGTAGCTCAAGTTTCACGAAGATAAGATAGTACTTATTTTTGTGTTGCCAGTGAGTCGCAGCGTGACTTGCACTGTGATTGTTCAGCGCAAGGTGAATGACAGCCGTGTACAGAAAGAAACCTGGCTGGCTTGTCTCTGCGCATCTGCTGGCCCCCGGGGGCCTGGCACAGCGCCCGGCACTGAGAAGACGCCGGGGAGACTGAGCGCTCCGCACCGCGCCCGCCGCTCTCGCCCGAGCGCTGCCCCCAGCCGGCAGGGCCTTCTCCTACAGGTCCGGCCACGCCCCCGATCCCGGCCACGCCCCCCGAGCCGGTAGCGAGGCGGAGCGCATGCGCGGGGCTCGAGCCCGCGCGAGGAAGCGCGCGCCCGCGGCTGTCCCTTCCCCCACCTCCGCCGCGCTGGAGGGGACCCTGTCGCCGCGGCGCGCTGCCGCGGTCGGTAGTCGCCATGGACTCCCCGTGGGATGACCTGACGCTGGCCTTCTCCCACACGTCCATGTTTCCCTTTTTCGACATCGCCCACTACCTCGTGTCGGTGATGGCGATGAAGCGGCAGCCGGGTGAGTGCGGGGCGCCGGGACCGGCGCCCTGCCCGCTCCGCTCCCTGCCGGCTGCCCTCGGCCAGCCCGCCTCAGGCCCGGACGGTTCCGGGGCCCAGCGGGAGGGGCGCCGAGGCCCGGTAGGGTGGACCCTGAAGTACAGACTGGGAAACTGAGGCGGGGGAGGGAGGAGGCCCGGCGCTCGCCCCAGGGGGCGCGACCGGGGTCCGGGGCAGGCGTGCGGGGCGAGCGGCGGCCGTCCGGGCGCTACGGGGTCTCCGTGCCCACGCCGCCGCGGCTCTCGCGGACTCCGGGCACCGCCGCTTGCCCCGGACCGCAGGTCTCTGGCTGGGACCCTGGGACCAACAGGTGCTACCTACCGGCCAGTTGGGAAAGTTGTGCATGCCCTTGAAGCTCTGTAGAGCCAGCCGTGCAGCTTCCACCCTGACGCCCGTTGAGCAAGTTAGGCAGAAGGATCACCTGAGAAGCCAGGAGAGTCTCGCTTTCACAGTCGCGCGTGACATTGCGCATCTTAGTCATCTGGCGTGGTTTCGGCATCTGTGGAATGGGAACATGGGCTTGACACGGGCTTTTGGATTCTTAACCATGTGATGAAGGGATGGTATTAGTGATTTTTGTTTCTTACATTCAGGTTATGTTTGCTGCTGTGTTTGCTTTACTTTTTTTGCAGTTTTCCTAACATCCTTTTGTATTTTATGAATCTCTCTTTGAGGTCAGGGATTTCTTTCCTTGTGTTCCTGCTGCCCCTGATCTGCCCTGCCTTGCAAGTGGTTGATTAGTGAAGGTTTAAACGTGGTGCTGTATCTCTTTTATGGACTGCTGGTTTCTTACTTCCTTGGGTCTCAAAAGTACTTTTTGCTTCTTTGAAATCTGTAGCTCAATGTAAATCATTTTTTTGGTAGAGTTTTTGACCTGGAGAAGAGGACTGTGACAATTATTTGAGTAGGAAAAATAATTACATAGGATTCTGGTTCCCTAATTTAAAAAGAGGTACATTTTGTTTCTAATCTATATTCAAAATTTGACATTTCCAGGTACTGGCTAAATTGGAACTTCTCAAAAGTGTGGCCCAGGAATTCACGGGTTTCCAGAGTCTTCTGGTTAAAGTTATTTTTACAGCAGTGTCCAGCTGTTATTATTGTTACTGTTATTATTATTTTTGAAGCTTTAGGTGGAATTCACATTTTTCTCACAAGTGTAAGGCTTTCCAAAGACTATGTGACTTGTGATGGCATAAGAGCACGTATGATAATCCAGCCCAGTTTCCTATTTGAAGCGGACAGAAGGGGGATTTGCTGCAGACTACAAAAGAGTGCCAGGCATGGTTGTGCACACCTGTAATTCCAGTACTGGAGAGGCTGAGGCACAAGGATCTTTGGAACCTGGGCTACAAAATGAGCTAAGGCCAGGCTGGACTGCATAAGGAAACCCTGTCTCAAAAAGAAAGACAAAGCAAAGCAAAACAAAAGGATACAACGTGTCTCTTCTCAGTGTTTTTGGTTTGAAAAATAATTATTTTTCATGAAGAATACATTATGTTAACACTTGTTGCATTTATTATTTTAAAAAATAACCCAAATCTATTTGTGTTAGCTTATTCCCTTTGACAGTGTTGGCTATTTTCAAGTCCTCATATCTTGTCATTTTTATGATCAGAAAAGTTTTCATTTGCCTTTGTCCTGGTTGCTAATGAATGTGTTCGTCTTAGGTTTTTTTGCCATTTGTCTTTCATTTATAAATTATGTATTATTTTTTGCCCATTTATCTACTGGGCTGTAGGTTGTTTTATTTTATTGATTTTCTTTGTAAATGATAGTGTACTTATGTGTGGTAAAGCTGCCTTTTGACTTTGTTTATGGCAGTAGTTTAAATGTTTCATGGTCAAGTCAATTTACCTTTTTTAAATAGACAAATCTGGGGCTGGAGAGATGGCTCAGTGGTCTAAAGCACCTACTTGAATCAAGCTTGGCGAAGCACAGGGACCACGGTTCGATCCCCAGCACCACATGCCAGCCAGCCCCACCCCCTGGTGGGCTGAGCTGGCCACACACACACACACAATAAATAAATGTAATAAATAAAAATAAATAAATATTTAAAAAAATAAATAAATAAATAAATAAATAGACAAATCTGTTAATTTTTTCTCCTTTCTTATTCCTGAGATTTGTGTATTGTGTATGTATGGCTTTCTCATATCCATGTCCAAATGAACATGTTCAGCTGTGCTCTTTTTTTTTTTTTTTTTTAAATCTATAGTTGCAAAAAGGTAGTTTTTTTCTTTCCTTCACCCTCTCAAGCATTTTACTCTTTGAATATTAGTTTTGAAATATTCTCTACCACTGCAATCTCTGTCCACTTTCCTACCATTTATAGCTTACCATTTTAGATAGTGCCTAGTTCTATTTTTTTTTTTTTTTTTTTTGTGCAACCAGGGATTTGAACTCAGACCTTTGCACTTGCCAGGCAAGTGCTTATTCTACTGAGCCATCTCCCCAGCCTCAGTGCCTAGTTCTTAAAAAAAAAAAAAAAAAAAAATCCTAGTGGAGTCCAAAAAAGTGAAGATTAACCCTTTCTACCTGAGGTTTGGAGAAAAATTGCATCTCATTTGTTTTGTTTAGCAAAGATGAAGATATGGGGATATAAATTGGATTTTTGTTTTTAGGATATCTTTATTTGGCTCATAATTAACTCTAGTTCTTTCTGAAACGTGGCATCTGATTGTCTATAATTTTTAGATGGAGCCAGTACTGTAAATTTTAACCCCTTTAGTTTTCTGGGCATTTGATTAGGAAGTTGGAGTCTGTCACTTTTGTAAACTGCTAGTGAGAACACGTTTAATGCAAAATTTTTATCACTAGCTTATCTTAAATTTTAAATTTGTGATCTTTTTTGTTTAAATCCTTGATTTTTTTTTTTTTTTTTTTTTTCCCGGTACTGGGATTGAACTCAGGACCCTGCGCTCGCTTATACTACTGAACTATCTCCCTGGCCCTAAGTCCTTATTAAAATAAAAACATTTAGATATTCACATTCAGTCTTTTCTATCAGACATCTGAAAATTTAATCTATAATGGTTTCTCCTGTGAATGAAGTTTATTGTTTAAATTTTGCCACAGCTATTTTTGCTAACCTCTCTTCAAGTCATAGGCAGTTTAGTTGAATTCCTGGGTGATGCTTATAAATTGCCTATGGTGGGTTGCATTATTGCTAGTATTTAGAGCTATTAGGAAATGACTGCTTCTCAGAGGTGTCCTCCAGGGTAGCTGGGTTTGGGCTTTGAGTCTAAGATCTTATGTCAGTTTGTTGAGGATGAGCCCCTGGTTCTTTGGCAGTGGTCCACAGTATTTTTTATGACCCTCAGCGAGTCTGTCTTGGAATGCTAGGAAGAATGGTCCCGATTAATGCAGTCCTTTACACCTACTATTCCCTTCCAGTGCTCCATCTCTCCATGGAGGCCCCTGGGGTGGCCAGCAGTCACCCTGAATTGGAAGGTTTGAACTGCTCCTCCCAGAGCAGTTCAGTGAGTACTGACTCCTCAGTCAGTGAGTACTGACTCAGGGAGAAGGCTCTGCCTGCTACCTCCTACTTCTAAGTTGAAATTTCTTTTGTACTCTGCCCAAGGGATCCTGTTCTTGCTTCAGATCCTTTCTGGGTTCTTGGACCCACTTTCTTTTTTTTCCTCTAGTCTAGGGTCTAAACAGCAACTCTCAGAGATGCTTTTTTTTGCTGCTTATTACTCTGCCATCTTCCCGGAGGTCCCCAAGTCATATATAGTTCAATTAAGCAAATATTTATTGAAATGGTACTATCCTGTACAAGCATATTATAGAGTTGATGAGACAAAATGAAAGATAATAGTATAGACTTAATGAAAACCAAATTCACTTTCTTCCTTTTGTTTTGATAGTCTTATAAAAGTTGGCCTGTCCTTCTTACATAATAATGTTATCGTTGATTTCAGATACATACAGAATATTTCAGTATGATAATTCTAATCCTCATACATTTTTGTAAAGTAGGAGTTATTGAATCCATTTAGGATTCAGTTCCAGTTGAGAAATCTTTTTTTTTTGCTCCAAATGCCTTCAGGGCAGGTTTGGCTGGCTTGAGTTGTGGGAATCAAACCACAGCCACCTGGCCTGACATCTTTGGGGAAGCAGCCACTTAAAGAACTGAGCTAGGGCCAGGCCCCCTTGAGAAATCTTTATAAGGGACTAAAATAACCTTCCTACATCACATAATTTATTACATTTGGTAATTTATTTATTACCAGAGAGGTGGCCTTTCCTCCAGATCTGGCAAATTCCCAGGTTTCTCAACCATTCTGTGTTCTCTCTTTGCAGGTCTATTTAATGTTCCCAATTTCTTAATATTTAATTTATCAATAAAGAATCATTTGACATGATCATTTTCTCCCATAATTTCTGCAATATCCATAACACAAGCCAGTTTCTCCTTTGTCTTAGGAGTTAAATACAGGAACAGTTTGTTGTTCTTCCTTCCACTAATTTGTATGAGGTGGAAGAGCTGATTAACTCAGAATGTGTGTCTGGGTATTCTATGGATTGCTTATCATTTGCTCATTTTTTCTGTTGGGCTGTTTTATTTTATCTGGGCAAGTAGGAGCAATGATAGTAGCACAACCTTGCGGTTTTTATGAATCCTCATGTAAAAACATACAGAAAAGTGCAAAGGTCAGATACACAGCTCAGTGAAATTTTCAAAATGATCACACTTGTTTAATCAGTAATCATATAAAAATAGAACTTTCATGACCTTCCAAAAGCCACTTTTGGTAAAAGATTAAAAAAAAACAGGATACGTTCTACCCAGTGTGATAACAGAAATGAAAGTCTCTATATATTTCTGTGAGATTAGAGAATTTTGCTTGAACAATTGGGGGTGGTCTGGGGATTGAACCCAGAGCCTTCATACTAAGCTACATTCCTAGCTCTTTTTATAGTTTTTAAATTTTGAGACAAGGTCTCAGTAAGTTG